AAGTGTGCAACTCCTCTGTTGGACAACACTTCCTTAGATTGAAAGCTCAATGTGTGGAGAGTGCTCAAAAGAGGAGTTACGCACTGCGTTTATCAGTAAGGCTAAAGCCACTAGGGGGGCCGCAGTGTCACACTTACATCAGGCAGAGCAGGAGAGCAAACAGATGCGTCCTGGAGTTGGACGAGTGCTCCACGTTGGTCGTGACCTGCGAGTGGCAGTGCGGGCAGGTCAGGCGGGTCGGCTCGGGCCCCACCGCCGCGGCCGTGATCACGGTCACCATGGGCGGGGCGGGCATGGCCCCGGGGTAGCTGGGCGGGGGGTTGCCGGGGTAGGGTTCTCCTGGAGAGAAAAAAACACAAAAACAAATTAGCTTAAGCTTTGATGAGGAACCGCTCTGTCGTATCGGATGCGCGGAGTCCGTATTGCTAAACCGTCTTTTAAAGACTGCCCGTGTATAGCTACATATTTTCGTAGTGTCCCACGTCCTTTCTACCCACTCGTGGGTGCGGTGCGGTCGACTAAGCGTCAACAAAAACACTCGCAGTTATCGCGGCGCGGTTACCCTCGCTGCAGCCATGACGTGGCGCGCGGTGTCCTCAGAACGAGTGCGTCAGCGGCGAGGCCTGCGTCCGGAAGGACAAGCGGACCCCCGCACGTGACGTTCACTCGCGTCGCACCATGCGTCGCACCCGCGAACGCCTCCAAGAACCGGCAAACTCATATCGACTGTATTGACCAGTCGCGCCTCCGTGGCCCGGCGACCTAACCTGGTGACCTTGGCATTGGCAGCGGGGGCCCTCGGTCGGGGCGGCCCGAGTGAGTGAGTGAGTGACTGGGCCGCACAGTAAAAGGCTTGCGCAAAAAATTCGCGCGGTGCGAAAAATAATAATTGCCTTTTCTCGGAATTTGGAGCTGCACAGTTGTGCTATACCTAATGGCCGCTCCGCTACGCCACTAATGTCCAACTTCCTCTCTGAGGCGCTTCAGTGGCGGATGGCGGACGCAACGGCGTCCGCACGTACCCCGCTATCTGGCTGTTACTGTCAAACTTCCTAAGTTTCCGTTGATCCTTTCAGTCACGGCAATTTAAAACTCAAAATAAAAACAGGGTTCTCTAGGCATAATTCTTGGTTTTTCTTATTTTCACTTATCGATTCTGCACCTTTCTTTACAACGAACACCATGCCAAAGCGAAAATCACCACAATTTCTTAATGTTGCTTTAACGGTACAAGTCGGCCATACTGATAAATAAAGTGTACAACTTATACTGCACATGCAAGTGCTCAACACTACGTTGAACGCTTTTAGATGTTTGACTGCATAGGTACCTGAATACTAAACATAGTTTAACAGTAAAGTTTAACATTTAGAAGTGTTCACATTTAAGTGTTGAACACTTTTAACTATTCAAATTAGTACAAACACTAAAGAGTATGTGCCATAAAGTTGAGCACTGCCACTGCCATATGTGCGTGCCAGCTGCACACTTTTGTTTTCAGTGCAGTGTGCGGTCAAAGCGGGTTTAACAGTGAAAAAGCCCAGTCATACAAACGATTGCGAAATTACATCAAAATGTTAAGCTGAAACTAAAGTTAAAAAATAAAAGCAGCTCTTTCTCTGGCCTTTCCTGCACCTGCTGTGGATGAGAATCCGTGGCCTATCACTAACTCCTGGTTGTGGGTGTCAAGTTCTGAGTTTCAGCGATCGAATTTAGCCCATTGAACAGAGTTTATAACCATAACGAAGTCTTTTTTTCGTGCAAGAAGAGATTCGTAGCTGTTGTGTCATAATTTAATGTCACAGCCCTGAAATTTCCTATACGGTCGCTTCTGCCTAAAGGTCCGTGTGACAGATACTCAGACCACACCACTGCTGGTGACTGGACGGTCCTTATTATCTTTACCTGGGTTTCCCATTCTTGCTGTGGTGGAGGATCGAAGCTGGTTCACACGTGCGCTGTTCCCTTCGCACTGATACGCGCCCTCTGGCACACGGCTTGATAAAGAACATGAGGCAGCTGGGGCCCAACACGGCGCCATCCCCACCACTCTCCCCCCCCTCTCCCTCTCTCTCCTTTCTCCTTCCTCCTCCCTCCTCCCTGCCTCTCAGTATCAATGACTTGGCTTGGTATATGTGTGTAAGAGAGAAAGACAGAAAGAAAATGATTAAATTAAAATTAGTTTAACTGAGTGCCATATTAAAATGACTAAGTACATTCCCGCTATAACAATTGGAAACCCGCGTAAGCTGATGAGTGCTATCAGGGGTAGGGAGAGGGGAGTCAAATGCATTGAAAAAGCGGCTTTTACATAAAAGGTGGCAAGGGACAATTTTTTGACTTTTGTCAGATGCGTCTGGCAATCGATTTAAGGCTTGTGATGTTCCCAATTCCAGGAAAATGTCAAGTTTATTACTTAAAACGGTTCTGTGTGTTTCTTGTTACAGTGCCGATGGTAACTACGAGGTCCGGTACAAATCTAACGTGCTCATTTACCCCAATGGAGAGGTCCTCTGGGTCCCGCCAGCGATTTATCAGGTATGCACACGGCAAAATAAGTGGCTGTTCAGAAACTGCTTCAAAACCAATCAGAATGTGCTTGAGTTTCGTGTCTGTTGATATTACCGTGAGTCACCATGACGAACCAGTAGATGCCGACACCAGCGTCTCATTGACTCTTTCCCTCCCTGTTACAGAGTTCCTGCACCATCGACGTCACTTACTTCCCCTTCGATCAGCAGACGTGCATCATGAAGTTTGGCTCGTGGACGTTCAACGGGGACCAGGTCTCGCTCGCGCTCTACAACAACAAAAACTTTGTGGATCTGTCCGACTACTGGAAGTCTGGCACCTGGGACATCATCGAGGTGCCGGCCTACCTGAACGTTTACACGGACGACCAGAAGCGGCACCCCACCGAGACGGACATCACCTTCTACATCATCATCCGGCGCAAGACCCTGTTCTACACCGTCAACTTGATTCTGCCCACCGTGCTCATTTCGTTCCTCTGCGTGCTCGTCTTCTACCTACCCGCCGAGGCCGGCGAGAAAGTGACGCTCGGCATCAGTATCCTGCTGTCACTGGTTGTGTTCCTGCTCCTGGTGAGTAAGATCCTTCCCCCGACGTCGCTCGTGCTGCCGCTCATCGCCAAGTACCTGCTGTTCACCTTCATCATGAACACCGTGTCCATCCTGGTGACGGTCATCATCATCAACTGGAACTTCCGAGGCCCGCGCACGCACCGCATGCCGCCGTGGATCCGGACCGTGTTCCTCTACTACCTGCCCATCCTGCTGGTCATGAAGCGGCCCAAGAAGACGCGGCTGCGGTGGATGATGGAGATGCCGGGCATGTCGGCGCCGCCGCACCCGCAGTACGGCTCGCCGGCCGAGCTGCCCAAGCACCTGGCGCCCGGCGGCATGGGCGGGCCCATGGGCGGCATGGGCGGCATGGGCATGGGCGGCATGGCGGGCAAGAGCAACACGATGGAGCTCAGCGACCTGCACCACCCCAACTGCAAGATCAACCGCAAGACGAGCGCCGACCTCGCCGTCGGCGGCGTCGGCGGCTCCTCGCTGGGCGGCGGCGTGGCGGGCCTGGGCGCGGGCGGGCGGCGCGAGAGCGAGTCGTCAGACTCGCTGCTGCTGTCGCCGGAGGCCTCCAAGGCCACCGAGGCCGTCGAGTTCATCGCAGAGCACCTCCGGAATGAGGACCAGTACATTCAGGTGAGAGAGAGTGCGCCTCGTCGCGGCGGTGATGGACTGCGGGTACCCTTTTTTGTTTTCCGCATCCTTCTGCATGTATGTGTGTGTGTGTGTGTGTGTTTTGCAGATCCGTGAGGACTGGAAGTACGTCGCCATGGTGATCGACAGGCTGCAGCTGTACATCTTCTTCCTCGTCACCCTGGCCGGCACGGTGGGCATCCTCATGGACGCGCCGCACATCTTCGAATACGTGGACCAGGATCGTATCATAGAGATATACCGTGGCAAGTGAAGAGGTGCACCACGGGGCCCGTCGGGCTCGTGGGGTTCAGGGCGTGCGCGCGCGCGTGCGGGCCGCCACCCGCGTTGTTGTTGTTCTTGTTGAGTTGTCGTTTGTGTTATGTGTTTGTGTTCGTCCACTTTTACAACTACTACTTGATGGACCAAAACAAATTAATCTCCTTTCTCTCAAATACTCGTCGTCGTTTTTACGCCCCACTCCCTCTGGGGAGAATGGGGCGTTTCTTTTCGTTGTGGACAATTTTTTTTACGGAAAGAAAGAGGACTTGCATTAGTTTTTCGGCCAGCTGTCGGCTTTCAGCTCGGGCCCTTCTGAAAGGGGAGGCCCGTCAAGTCGCCGTCCAGTCCAACGCCCGGCCGAGGATCCGCTCAAGCTTGTGAAGATGTGCCCCATCCTTTCCCCCTCCTCCTCTCCCTCGTCCACCCTCTGCCCCCATCACCCCGTCACTCCCCCCCCCCCTTCCCTCCCCTCCCCGTTCAGCACGCTCCTGCTGCTCGGCGACCAACTCGCCGGTGGTGGCGTTGTGGGTGGCAGCTCAGCTAATCGGAACTTCCTCCGCTGTAACCGGGAGAGGCTCGGCTTACTGTCGAGTACCTATTGAGCGCCTGCGCCACTCACGTTTATCTCCTGCGCTGACGGAATACACTCCTGCCCACGTCATCGTGTTGTGAGCTCATACTTCAGTGACGGTAAGCGCGTCTCGGAATAGTTTAATCTGCTATATTTGGTGGATTGATGCGGGTGGGTATATGAGCCCTCATGACTCATCCGAGTGATGGGGCCCACGCCATCGTGTCATCCCTCCTTCATATATCGTAAAAGAACAACAGGAAGCGGGAAAAAATCGCACAACCACCTGCAGCTTTTGTTGAGAAGACTTGTTTTGTGTTTAGTGTCGCTTAGTTTGAAATTGAAATGTCAATCAGTAGACGTGAGAGTAGCGCGGATAACTAACAATTTTAATCATAAAATGCGAATCCTACCATGCCGTATCATCGTGTGTTTGGTTCTCCAGTGAGCCGTGCTGACGTGGGAGGCACACCTGGGCAGACTGTGGAGCTGAGCTGTGGGCCCCGCGCTTTAAAACCATTGTATTAATGTGTAAAATTTTGTTTAAATGTAAGATTTAAAACAAAGTAAATGAACGTAGGGATTAATGCAGCCAAAAATTTGGGTTATCTCCATAAGCTAAAGAAAACTAATCTCCATTTTAAGACTAGATATTAAACTTTGAAAACGTGGTGAGCAACGTACTAAAAAACGACAGTAATAAACTATAAAATTTTCCAACACAAGACGTCGCACTGTTTTCACGAAGATCTCCAAATGCTGTAAACGTTCCCACGTAGTTACTAATTTCTAATATGTGCGTGGTGTAATGGTGTAGTTCGTGAAGTATGTATCGTGATTTTATGCCCCGTTCACTTATTCGGTCTAACTCTGTTTGCCGTGCAGATATAGCTCAGTGATATGATGTCGAAACGATATCCCTTCGATATCGTCCGGATATCGTATTGACAGTCATTGCACTGAGGTAAGGTGGTGGTGGGAAGGGGTCTGACCGAACCGAAAGTGGTAGTATAAAGAGTGAGATCGGATTCCCCACTGCACCGCAAGTCAGTCGAAACCATTACAAAAGTGGAAGTGTACGGAGTTTCCAAATCAGTTTTTTTTTTTTTTTTTAAATAGACATTGATGTGGACTCGTTTATAGGATCATAGTATCGGGAGCAAGATGCTAACCAAGTTTTCCTGTTGCATGTGTCATTCCTATACAATACTGTACTGAGTCTATCCGCGGCGAGGGCAGGAGGGCGATATTGTTTACGGTGTTGGGTCATGCCAGGGATTATCCTGGGGCATTTACTTTTCATATCAATAATAAAAAAAAATAAAATAATAATGAAACCGCATTGGGGGACGACGGGCACTGTTAATCCAGAGTATCCAGTGACTAGAGACTGTTCCAAACCACAATGAACGTTCCCTGGGGTGACGCAAGAGAACGTTACAACGTTATTCCTGCGCGCGAGTCCTATGGCCCCTGCACAATCAGGGCCGGCCGCCATCTCCACGCGGCTGCCTGGCGGGTTGGCCTACCCTGCGCGCTGTAGGCGCTGGCGTCGACGTCCTCTCGCGCGAAACCTTCATTCTGAGGGCGCCACAAGTCGAACAGAAATCCTACATATAACAGAGAGTTGCACACTCCCTCTGTTGAACCAGTGAAATTATCATCTTGAAAAACTGTTGCCAGTGCCACACCAAGTTTGTTGTTAGATATGTCTTGGCTCTTGCGGCAGCCTGGTCGCCTAGTTACTGGACAACAGGTCAACAGTGCAGGGTCATAGGGTGAAATTTAGTACAATACTCGAGTCCCTATGGGATCGTCAAGAAAATACGTCCGTCATTCGCCGTTACGAAATTGCCAACTTCACCCTGTGTAAGCTCTAGCGCCTTACAGGTAGGCAATATCTTGCCTGCAGTGCATGCGTGTACGGCGGTGTGGCCTAACCGGAATCACGCAGGCGCCGACCTCCCGTAAATTGCCGAATGAATCTGAGGGAAAAAGCGGACGTACTTCCTGGACGACCCCTATGCCACTCGCTGACACATTTACATCGTTTGCTTGGCAGGTCCGCGTCTTTGTATATTAAAAACAAATGTTATTAACAATAATTATTATAACGGTAATAACATGCATTAACTTTCTTACATCCAAGTAACCAATTTTTCGATGATTAGTTTCAAAACAAAATTAATAATGAAAAAAAAACATATTGTATTGAATACGTCACTGCCGAGCTCTTAGGAAGAGTAGTGAATGCTGCTGTCTTATTGCCTTGCGTAAAGGTAGACGACCGGGAAGACTTTATCGCGTCCTCTAATTCCTTTCAAAAACTCCCTGATGCCTGATTCTCACGAGGGCCTGGGTGAGGGAGGAAAGCGCTGTTACCACAGTAGAGGTAGATCTGAGGAAAGTGGGGAATGCCAATAATGCACCAGTTACGCGCCAAAACTCACTACTCTTGATTGCAATGAGAATCGGCACTGCTGTCACTAATTTAGCAGTGGTAAAATAAGTAGATCATGAGATACACTGTTATTTAAACACTGTGACGTCACATTTAAACGACTGAGACTCGTGTCACGTTGTTTAGAATACTGTGTCACATTCTAACGTTGACACGCACTCATGCACATAGCCTCAGTGAGGCGCTGTGACGGCAGAGAGGGTGAGGTTCGAACGAATTTGTATTCTAAAACATGTAATACGCAATTTATAGTTGATTGCATGTGACGTCACAGTCTTTGAATTACAGTGCAATTTTTAAAATAAATAGATTAATTTTTTTTAAAGAATGCGGGCCGTGCTTTTCAGTGGATGGCTGTCAAATATTTGTTAAATAATTTAATAGATTTGCAGTTTTTATAGTTGATGTATTTTATATTTTCTTGTCTCGAAACGCTAACTGCTTGAACTAGAGCAAGTAAATCTTCGCTAAAACTGTCGGTTCAAGAGAATCAGTAAATCTGAATTCTTCCTCGGAATCTTTCATTCCCAAACAAGCCTTAAACCCTTAAAATATCGCGATCCAAACACCGGGGGTACGGTAAATTGGGACGATTCTCAGCCACCGCGAGCAGTCTGCCTGCAAACAGACGTAATGCAAGGCCATTGGATCTTGATACTGTCGTTCGTTACCATGTTATTGTGCTTCTTCGCACGAGCAACGCTAATCGAGTGTTCTCGCTGTCCATGTATGATCCAAACAACCAAAGAGCCGCACCGCGGAGAGCTGGTGCAGTCGCGCTCCTTTTTGCGACGGATTGCATAGACTGACCTTTCAAGATTTTCCTTCTTGTCGTGAACTTGTAGCCTGCTGTTGAGGAAGAGGAGCTGGCGGTGTGAGGGTATTTCGGGCATACGGCGTGCTTTTGGTGGAAGAGAGGTTGCCACGGACAATATCCTAGAAAATGTTGTAAGTTTACTCAGAGCTGGTGAATGCAATGGGAAAGGCAAAGTTCCCGAGGAGGTATTTTGCGTGTGCTCCCTCCCTGAGAAATAAGCTCAATCGCATGGTGCATGAATCTGGCCGCGGTCTTCCCCGCAAACGTCACGACGGTGCCGCAGCCGTTGCACAGGCACATTTTATTTGGCTGTAGGTGTCTACGACATTATCAAATATTAATAATTGTATGGAAAAAAGACCGCGGCAAGATGAGGAGGGTCTAGTCGGTGGCGAGCGCTGCCAACTCTGTTGCCCATGTGCCAAAAAATGAATCGTAAAATTAAAATTTAATCGGATATTCTGTAAGCCCGCTCGCCGTTGATTTGGCCCGGCCTCCCCATTTTCCTTTTACTATTAGTGTTCGTATAGTAGGGTTACCGTTTCACAAGACTATAAGCAACATGTTTTGTATAAGGGATAACTAAGGCCATATGTTTTCAGTGGTGCCAACCACAAATGTTCAGGAACAATGGGTGGAATTTGCTCTGGGCTCTGTCAATAACTTAATATGACGTGTTCAGTGCATGTGAGCATCAAAGATATACTACTTATTTTAATAAAAGCTGTGGTGAAGACTTTTTAGGCTACTAATTATTAGTGTTAATTATTTCAAACAGGCTCCTGCGAGGATAATCTCGTTATGGTGCCGCAATATGTGTCGTCCTGATTCACCCGTGTGTTGGCACTACTGCAATACAATATAACTCCTCCACAAGTTCCTTGCGAACAGACGGTGTTCATCGCGCTGACTGCGCTAACTGGATTAATGGCCGATTTAATTTAGTGCTCATTTCTCCGTTTGTGTCCGACAGGATCTTCTCTTTGAAGTAAATGTTCGTGTAAAAAGATGAGTGAAGAAGTTTTGTCCTTGATGCTGTCAGAGACATGTAATAAAGTAAACCGTGTCCCTTCAAGGAAGAGATCCTGTTTTGTTGTAGACAGTGTTATCCTTAAGTTATCCAGTGCTCAAAATACCATAGTGTTAATGTAATATGTAAAGAGAATGCCGGGCAGGACACTGGAGATGCCTCGATGTTCTCTATAATCAGCAGTTTTGTATGTGTAAAAATGCAAAAAAATACCTCCAGTCCTTTAAGTGTGGGTGGCTACAACACTCCAGATAGACCTCGAATATTTTCCAACCACTGATGTTGTATCAAACCAAGTGCTTGCGACGGCGTCTTTTGGGCGATCTGACCAAAACGTGTCGCTCTGATTTGACTTTTTTTAAAAGAATAATAAAAAATAAAATTTAGCCAGTGTCTTACGTTTCACCCTTTCCCAGTACGAGGGTGACATGCGTTGTGATCATACAGGGCAGAGTGGCTAGCACCAGGTGGCTGCGGCTGACTCACTGTACCGCATGCACGGATGCGGGCGGGTTTACCTATCCTCGCTGGGTTCCTTACGGCCCCGTACGACTAGGCAACCCACCCACCCGCACGCGTGCACGCGGTACAGTACAACTACGAAACTAGTCAGAGTAAGTCAGACCCGGTTCCTACCGGGGCAGGTGGGTACTCGGGCTACCCGGTTCTCCGGGTAAAAGTGAGAGCCTTAAGTATTACCCCCCCCCCCCCCCCCCAAAGGGTCGCATGAGCTGGGTGCGTGGACGATGTAAAGTGGCCTTCCCTGTCCGCTTTTACCTTACCCACCCACCCCACCAATCTCAAACCCTTATTTACATTGATTCGTGTGCGGCAAGCATGGGGCATAGATTGAAACGCAACAAATATCATCACGATTAAGTGATACTGTGTAGGCTGTAGAGAGTTTGGAAGCCGACGGTTTCCCTCTTCTTCTTTTTCGTACTATGCCTCATCTGTATTTAAATACGGCGCTAACGGTGGGTAGTGTTCCCCTCCCATCCTTTCCGGAAATTGCGGTAAAGTATGGAAACATGGAAACATACCCCCGTTGCGGCCCTGCTGTAGGGGAGAATGGGCGAATCGACTGTTTCGACTTTCGACGTCGAATCGACATCGAATCGACGTTGAAGAAAACTCATTTCTCACTGGGCCTATACGAACAAAAATTGTCCCTCGTCATTGGTACTGTGTAATAACTTCTTTGGTGCCACAGCTAATTTCTCGACTATCCCCAAATTAGTTCTGATGACTACTTTTTGTTTCGGTGTGTGTTTGGGGGGGGGGTCGGGAGGGGGGGGGGGCATACCCACCGTTAGCGCCATATTTGAATTACGCCGGTGAGGTGTTTTACGAAAAAGAAGAAGATGATCGTTTGCTTCCGACTCTACTGTGCCATAGCCTGCTCAGCACAGCTCAGCATCCCGTACTATTCAGGATGGTTCTTATTTGTTGCGTGTCAATCAATGCACCCTGCTCGCCGCACACGAATTACCACAAGTAAGGGTTTTAGATCGGTGGGGTGTGGTGGGTGAGGTAAAAGTGGACAGGGAAGGCCACTTAGGTCGTCCACACGACAAAAAATAACTACAAAGAATTTTTTTCCGATGGAACGCTGGCGTCGTCTGCGCTCTCGCCTTTCACTTGTTCATTTGGTGGTGGGCGGTGGCGATAACAGAGCAGAACACTTCTCACCATCGTTATACTGCTGTTAAGGTGAATTTACTCCACACCTCCTACTGCTACAAATTGTGAACCGCAGTACATGCAAACCCTCCTGGCGCTGGAAATACAACAAATACTTGCATTTGTGTGGAACAAAACCAGAAGACATTTTCGTGGTCGAAAGCAAAACATTCAGGACAATATTTTGGTTGAAGACCAGAAACTTCTCCCTCTGCGGGGACACACATGTGTAACTCATCTAGATTACGACAAATATACGGAAAAAATAGGCCGGACTGACATTCATAATTTTCTGTTCTATAAGACTCGCACACAAAGTAATTTCACAACTCGTGCATATGATTCGTGTACGAAAACAAATTTGGTAACAAAGGGAAAATTGGGAAGTAATGTTGGCAACAACTTCACAAGATTAGTTCGTCATTTCAGTAGTTAGAAAGATGGCGTCAATGAAAGAAGCGACGAGTGATAAACACAGTTGTGCGTCAAAGAATAAGTTTCTTGTAAGGGTAACAGACGTAAATTTTAAGTAAAATTGTACAGGTTCTTCAGACTTCTTTCTGTTTTTATTAACTTATAAGCCTTACAGAAATCCTGAGATTGTGAACGCCGTGTACAAACTGTCCTACACCGCCATGTTTAGGTAGTTTTATCCAATATACGAGATTGAATTCAAAATTTGTGTTTAGGAGTGAATGTGCCGAAATCTTCTGACTTTCTAAATTCGTGGCTCGCCACTTGGATATCCTGGCGAAGTGAGATCTCCCGGGAGTCTGGCGTAGTCTATCATCTAAACCAAACCTCACTTCGCCCTGCAGCAGACCTACTGCCTCACGGCCTAGGGCCAAGTATGGTCTTTTTCATTTATGACTTACTTTATGACATCGCTGAGGATCTTTCTGGTGATGAACAAATGATGGTATGTGACATTAAGTGATTTGGGAGAATGGAATGCAAGTAAACATGATTAGTCTTCTAGCTATGTTGATGGCAATGTTTGTTTATTTTATTTCCATTTTCTATCATATTTTATTTGCACCTGTAACAGTTTAGATTCATTTCACTTTCCATTATTGTAGGAATTTTTATATGCTTGCTTTTTATACATAACTTTTGCCAGTACAAAGTTGTGGTTTTTCTACAATAGGTTTCCACCTAGCATTTGTCGTTTCTAAATTCTGGTTTGTTTGCTTGTGTATCATTGATATTTATTATTGTCATAGTGAAGATTTGTTAAATCCCGAGTATTTGAACGTCTTAAATACTGTGGTCCTGCTTTGCAGATTTAGTTACGTTTAGACTTTAGTGCCTAGCCGAAATAACCTAACCTAGAAGAGCTTCACGTGTGTTGTTTTGCCTTTTTTCTTTTATTTTTCTTTGTATAAATAATGGAAATTGATATTCAATTAATCATCATTATATATTTTATTTCTATTGTGCTCTTAACATAAAGTCTTGTTATAGCTTAGAGATCTTAATTATTCACTATTTCTGTTACTAGTGGGTGATGAGGACTCTGTGATTACACTTTAGCAATGGAACATTACTAGTTGGCTCACTAATTCAATTCACTTAATGATAAAAATTGAGTTATATACCTGTTAGCTTAGGCCATAAAGACACTGCAATTTAACAAGCAATCATGGGTGATTGGAGATGCTCTCTCCTGTCATATTATGCTGCTATATCAATTAAGGTTATTTTTCATTCTCCTACCCAGCAGTCAGTTTAAAGACAATCCTTCTCCCTTATTCTTCCAGTTGTGACTATTGTGCAGTGGACCCTCTAATCCCAAGTTATGGCGACGCGTGCGAACCCCACCAAGGTAACGTTTCCAGAAATGGAAAGTATTCTGCGAAAAATTCCCACTAATTTTCTGTCCCACAAATTCACAGGTTTGATGTTGATTGGGTGTGGGTGTAGGAGCTGTGTCAGAGAAAAACCACAAGTGTGTCACAGTCCTTGAATGTTTGTGTATATTGTGTGTGTATTGCACCATCTATATGATTAGATATTTGGGAGAAAGGTTTTTTTGTTGTTGTTTTTGTGAAAAGAAACAGGTTATTCTGAGAAGACTTTTTTTCCCCTCTTTCACATAGCTAAGGTTGCCTATTAAAAGAAATTGTCACAAATTAAGTCTTTTGGCCAATAACTGTTTTTTTGTTTGCATTTTAACTCTTTGAGAGCTAACTGGTTTTCTAAACAACAGAATACATGGTTCAATGGTGTATTTAGTCTGAGTGCTCTGCCTGAAAGTTTGATAGTCAATTTTTTCAGAGCTTTACATTTGGTCTCATATTTTCTATAATGTTAATGAAATTTATTAACACATGCAACTTGTAGATTCCACATTACCCATAGTTAGAGCATGCCTTCAAATTTTGTGTGTAATTGTTTTGTGTTTTTTCTGTCAGCTTGCTTGCTGAATGAGCTCCTAGACGAGTTTTTGTATGTGTTCTGCATTGTTTTGTCGTTTGTTTGTTTAGCTATTTTGTGTGTGTGTGTGACTATGTAATGTTTTTGCATGGTTTAATTTGTTTTGAATATGTATGAGTTCTGCTTGTGTATATTTTGTAGTTTGTGTAGTAATTGTGCCATGCTGCTTGCTGGGGGAGCTTGACCGTATCTGGTGTTAGGAATTTTATTTAGGTACTCATATTAATACTGGGGGAAAAACACTTTCTAAAGTTTCATGAAACTATTTGCTTATTTATTTTGTCATGTCATATTCCCAGAGTCTAGAAGACATGTCTTGTAATTTTATTAATCATAATTTTACCATCTTCTACAATATCTATGAGAAAAACATTTAAATCATTCTAACTTTTGTAGTACATGTTGAGCCTCAGAAACACTGCTCCATTTTTCTCAACATTTTTTTTTAATGTATTGTGTTTTGTTTGGATTTGTTGCAGTTAATGGAACAACGGCTCCTAGATGTCAGTGTCAAATATTCAGATAAAATACAATGCCTAACATCAACATGGAACCTATTAAAAGAACAAAAAGAAGAAGGGACATTTCAAGACTCCTTCAACTTTTTGATGAGGTAATGATAATGAAACTACTGAGAACTTGCATATCATATCTATCTACCATCTTATTTTGCTGTTGTTTATGAACCTTATTAAAAGCTACATGCCTCCTGTGTTCTAGGAACTCCATAAACCTTGTGCTCAAGCCAGAATGGAGAAGTATCAAGCAAGCCATGAAAACACACTTGAAATGTCAGGTTTCGGATTGTGAGAGGCTTAAGAAAAGAAGTGAACACATAGCTTCACAATGCCAATCCCTTTGCAATCTCTTAGATGAACCGTGGGGGAACCCAACCTTAAGTAATATTATTCAGGTGAAACCATATGATGAGCAAGCAGGTAAATTATTATTTTTTACATTCTTTAATCACATTGGTAATTAATTTCTAAACCTAAAATATTTCCACACAGCTTTATCATTTCTGGAGGCTGATAGGTACATCCTTGAATCCCGCTTAAATATCCTCTGTGAAGATAAAAAGTGTTATGACATTGCTCAAAGATTAGCAGCAGTTGTCTGGATGTTTTACAAGCGAGACAGGCGCCTTCTCTCATTTCTTCCAGACAACGAGCTGCACTATATCCTAGATCTATGGATTGTTCTCCTTGTGCGACAGAACAAACATAAGGATGTAACTGATCAGGTAAGGGTGGATGTACATCAGTACCATCCACATTTCTTGACTCCCCAAAATAGATGTTGTACTCACACCTTTACTTTTTGTCTAGTTTTGCTATATTTGTGCTTCATTATTTTCAGATGAAAGAAGTACCTCTCTCTCAGGGCTTACTTTTTAGTAAGAGACTCAAAACTTACAACCCAGTTCTCTCAGGGAAAAGCAAAATTTGGAAGAAGAGTCGTAATGCTGCACAGACAGTAGTATTTGTAAGATCGGACACTTTATAGTATTTTCCTCAGCCTAACCTGTTACATCTACTCATGCCTTTCTCTGAAATTTACAGGTATTTTTTGCCAGAGCAATAGCAGAACCTGTAGAAAAAATAGATGACACCATCACTGAACTCATCTCAGAATGGGTGGAAATGAACAGTAATGATGCCGAGTTTGAAAGCATGATAAGCAAGCTAGGTGCTCAAGCCAAATCTGTTGATCAAATTGCTGCTCTTAGTACCTGCCTAGAAAAGAAAGTAAGTTGTTTTTCGATCTTTCATACTACTCACTTCTTCTACATCTACTGAACTTTTAACCATCTCTTTCAGTTTCCTGGTCGATATCGGCTGAAATGCGTGGAGTTATTTATTAAAAGTTTGACCTCTGAAGTAAATCGAATGGAACAGATTCGATCTTTAGAAAATGATGCAGAGCTGCGGGCAGCCGAAGAGCATTTGTCAGCAGGTTTTCTACAGCTAGCTAATTTATTATCAGATAGTTTAAATGAGTGCCGTGAATGCATTCTCACTGCATTTTCTCTGAACCCAACTGATGACTGTTTAAACAGAATGAAAGATATTGCCATGTGCACTGGGCACATCAAATCTCAAGTATTAGATACAGGCCAGCCTGCACCCACTGTTGAATATGGAATGAATGTGGAGATCAAAATTGAAGATAGAAATGAGTTACAATTGCCACAAAACTTACAAGATGATCTTCATGTGATTCTGAAATGCTCTCGTAATAGGGTCTTGAGTTGGGATCTGAAGTGGGATGATCTGAACTCTAGATGTAATGACTATCTCAAGGAGGTGTCTAAAGGAGAGCGTTCTGTGGCAAAAGAGCTCAAGTTCCTGGATTTAGATTACAGCAAGTTTTCAAACATGCCTTCTAATGAAGAAGATAGTCATGATGGAATTGAAAAGGGTTATGAGCTAGACAATGATCCAGGAACAGGTGAAGAGGACATCGAAGACATACCTTTTAGAAGTAATCAGTCATCTCCCTCTGAAACTGGTTCAGACACCCCTTATAACATAAAGAAGAGATTTGATTCCTCTGACCCAAGAAAAAAGAAAAGAACACCAAAGCGTAATTATCCTTCATCAGATGATTGTAGGAGTAAGTTTAATATTAATGAATCACATCTTGGTAAAAAAGTCAAAAGCCAAAGAAAACCTAAAGGTAAAACTCCGAAAAGTGATGCCAAAAGAAATGGAAAGTCATCTGTTGTGCAGTTCCATGTTTCTAGTGGAAAGGATCCCCGTAATATTGGTGAGGATTTCAATCCAGCTAGCACCTATCAAAATTACAATGTAAATTCTGAGGATCTGAAGAAACTTGGTCAAGTGGACAAGAAACATCCGCCAAATAAAGAAGCCCTTGCAAGTCTCAGGAAATATCGACCAAAAAAGAAGAATCCTTCTAGTTTGGATACCTCTTTGATGCCCAAGATCACTTTGCAAAAGGATGCAAACATTGAGAAGTATCGAGAAAGAAAGGCTTCTGGCTTCAACGAGCCTTACTCCTTGTCAATAGTACCTGGCCTGAACTCCCTGGACATGATGATGCCCAGGCCTCAGTGCACTACCGTACAGGTTTGTTTGTCTTTTTTGTATGTTTATTATTATTATGCTATTTATATCTTTTGCTTTTGCTTCTTTTCTTTATCAATATTTTTCCAGCACTGTCCGATCCTTTGCCTTACCCCAATTTTCCTGTCTAACTTCAGGTCGTCCACGTTTCGGGAAACGTGGCTCCCCGAACCTCGAGCAGCAGCGTCTCCAAGCCCGAGGACGAGCAGGGGCCGGCCTCATCGGAGCAGCAGGTGGCAGTGAATGGCAACGGCAACGCCAGCGCCCTGTCCACCAGCAACCAGGCTGCGCCGCAGCTCAGCGGCAGCAGCAACGCGCCCAACAGCAACGCGCCCAATCTAGTCAGCCACAAGCTCGAGACGTACTACCCTGGGCCAAGCCGCATGGTGCAGCTGATGACGGCCTCGGGGCAGGGCCCTGTGCAGCTCTCCAGCGTGGCGCCGGGGCTGGCGCCGCTCACCTCTTCGCGGGTCGTGGTGCGGCAGGCCCAGCCGCAGGCCCAGCCGCCGGCACTCACCCAGGTCCCTCAGCGGCGCGCCAGCTGGAACCAGGCCACCACGGCGTCCTCTGCGACGACGGCGCTGCCTCAGTTCTCGCAGGCGTTTGGCACGACCAGCGCACTCAAGCAAGCCTTGCTCGCGGACAAGACCCCCAAGCTCAACCAGTCGGCGGCGGGGTTTGGGTCCCAGGCCCAGCCGGCGGGGTTTGGGGCCCCAGTGCATCCGCCGGGGTTTGGTCAGCCGCCAGTTCCGCCTCTCCAAGCGCGGCTGAACTCGAGTCAATCGCCATCGTCACTGCCGCAGCCAGAGATGCAGCCCACGCCGCCGCAGGAGCAGCCAGCTACAGCCCTTCAACCAGCACCAGCTGGTGCTCTAGCGACCACTACTATGACTACAGCTCAGGTCATAGTCAAGTCGACCAGTGGAGCGGCTACTACAATCAGTCAGGGAGCTACCGGAGTTACTCAAGCGACTCCCACGCTGACTCCCACGCCTACTGGAGTCCTCCTGACGGTCAGTACTACCAGTCAGCCCAGCCTGCACCAGCTCACGGCTATCAGCAGCACAGCCAGCAGCAGTACTCCTACAACGCGCAGTGTTGTCACGGTGGCGAGCACCAAGGCTGGAGCGGGACAGGGTGCGGCTGTGCTGCTTGCTGGGCTGACCGCGCAGCAGAGGCAGCCTGTGCCATCCCTGGTCCATAGGACGCACAGCTACCCACCTGTCTCCGTCTCCAGAGGGGAGATTCAGCGTGTGCAGATCGTGCAGGCCGTGAGTCAGGCGAACCAGGCCGTGAAGGTGGCTGTGGTGCCGTCCTCCTCGGTGCCCGTGCCGGCCCTCGTGCAGACGGGTTCGGCCCAGCAAGTCCTCACGGCAGTGACGTCGCCGACTGGGCAACGGACCGTGACATTGGCTAAGCGGGGAGCGCTGCCCGAGCCCACTCGCATCCGCGTCAGCAACCCCATCCTGGACAAGTACCTCCGCCAGACCGCCCAGGAGGCCGTCACCTCCACCAGCTCTACTGCCGCCCCGGCAGCGGCCGCGGCCGCGGGCACGTCCACGACACCCCCTCGCGCTGCTGCAGCGGCGGCGGCGGCGGCCGCAGCCGCCCTGGCCGAGGCCGCCAACGCGCCTACCAACGTCCAACGGCCGCTCTTTCCCTCGGCGCCGACGGGCCCGCCCTCGGAGAACGACATCCTGAAGGCCCAGCTCCTGGAGTTCGAGTCGGTGCTGCACCATGTGCACACAACGCGCCAGCTCAAAGAGCGGCAGTCGCTGACCGAGGATGACAAGCCAGCGGCGGCCCCGGCGTCCACCCCGGTCGCCGGCCCCGCCCCCGCCTCGGCCCCAGCGCCGTCGCCTGCACCGACCGCAGCCACCGCCCCGGTGCCGGCCTCTGCCCCTGCCCTGGCGTCAGCTCAGACCTCTGCCCAGACGCCGACGCAGGCTTCAACTACTGCAACGGCGGCCACTACTACGACTGCCTCCGTCGCCGTGGTGAGCGCAGTGCGCTCGGATGCTGCTGTTCAGGCCACCGTAGTGACTCCTTCTCTGGTGCCCTCCACCGTCCGCCAGATGGCGACGGTGCAGCCCACCCCTCAGGCCACTATGCAGCCCACCCCTCAGGCCACTGTGCAGCCCACTCCTCAGGCCACTGTACAGCCCACCCCTCAGGCTACTGTACAGCCCACCCCGCAAGCCATTGTGCTGCCCACCCCTCAGTCCGCAGCGCAGACTCTGGTGGCCATCGCCACGTCCCCAGTGAAGACGTCGGTCCCCATGGCCACTGTGTCGGTGTCCACCAGCTTCACTCAGACTGTTCCGCTTACGCCTAAGAAGAAATCCAAAGTCAGCAAGACTTTGACTGTGGTGTCCGCCTCCCCAGCTGTCAACCCTACCGTATCCGTTGTTCCCGCCATAGTGGTGCCGGCGTCAACTCCTATCATGACCGCCACCATGACTCCCACGCCCACGCCGGTCACGACGACGACAGCCAGCCAAGCCGGCGCCACCCTGACTCTGCAGGTTGACAATCGGACCAACTTGTTCAACCCCCGCATGATCCCCATGGTGGTGCCTAAGCAGGTCACCCAGAAGACCACGGAGGATGAGGAGACGACGGCAAGGATATTGTCCATCCTGCGGCAGTATGACGAGCAGCTGAGGTGTTCCCCGGAGATCAACAACAAGCCCGCTCCACGGCGCCGCAACCAGGTCCAGGCCGGCCAGGGCCAAGGCTCGGGGTCCGGCTCCGGGTCTGGATCGGGATCTAGTCCAACCACGAAGAGGAAGAACAAAAACAAGACTAAAGGCAACAACGCGGAGATGAGCCCTGGCACGGATGACACTCACACCATGGGAAGCGAGGACTCAAGCATTGCGTCGCACTTCGCCGATGGAGTCCTCGAGGCCACTCCTACTAGTCCACTTTCAACTTGTGATGATCGTTCCATTACAAGCACCGCTACTACCCCAGGCCCAGGGGAGACTGGTCCCATTGCGGTTACCTCATTTGCTGGTGTAACCAAAGTTGCATCCTTAACAGCAGACACGGGTGAAACAATAGATATGCAGACGGAATCAGGCAATGTGAAGATATCAGGAAGCCCTTCGAAAATTCAATCCTTACCGAAGATGCAGGTATCCCCCAAAGCCCAAGGCACAGCCAAAGTCCTTCAACCAGCCGCCAAAGCTCAGACACCACCAAAGGCCCAAGTAGCAACAAAAGTTTCACCAGCTCCCAAAGTGCCAAGTCCTACCAAAGTACAAATCTTGTCTAAATTGCCATCACCGCAGAAGCCTCCAACCATGATAAATAAAGTACAAACTCTGCCAAAGGCAAGGTCACATCATAAAGTGCAAACCACATCAAAGGTTCAGCATCTTACTCCAGAAGTGACTATCACTCCGAACAATTCCTTGACCTCTGTGACTGTGTCTGTCCAGTCTAGCAAAGATGTGCCTCCCAGCTCATCGCAAAATAGTCGAGTTATCCAATCTGTTGAAACTGTGAAACCTGCTCCGCCTCAAGAACTTGATGCATCTGCAATTCAAGTTATACCTATACAAGGAAATGGTCAAGTACTTCATGTTGTATCAACTTCATCTCAAATAATATCAACTTCTCAGCTGGTTTCGAGCTCTTCTCAAATGGTCTCAATTGCACCTCAGATTGTTTCAACACCTCAACTAGTTTCCGCTTCTCAACTGATAACTACAGTTTCTTCTGCGCCTCAACTGGTTTCAGTTGCACCTCAAATGGTTTCAACTGCTTCTCAAGGGGTATCTACCATAGCCCAACTGACTTCAACAAGTCCTCATCTAGAGCGTGCTTTGCAATCAAAGCAGGCGTCTCAAACTCCTTTACTGGCCAGGGCTCTTAAAACTCCATCTGGTCCTCTGCCAACAACTTTTACTGGTATACTCAATACCAGTACAAGATTAAGTATCTCTCAGCCACAAACATCTCAACTCAGGGCCCTTCCAAAAGTGCCTGAGAGTAATCAGCAAATGCAGAACTTGGAATTAACTGCATCTACTCCTGTCAGTCAAAGTACACTGGCGCGTGGTGAGGGAATGCCTACGCCTGTAACAGATTCACAATCTCTGCCTCTACCCCAGCAAACAACACCTGCCACATCAGCTGTCTTGCAGGAGCAACCTAGTCAAAATGAACAATTGTGCAAAATTGAAGAATCTCCTGCAACTGACGGATCGGCTCAGCCTGAAACTGGTCTCCAAAGTATTCAAATGGATATGGTTATGGGTTCAAACCAAAATTTGACTACCAATCTACTAACCTTGCCCACTGAGCAACCTGAAAGTCAGCCAACAGCTGCATTGCCAATGGAAAATCCGGAACTTAAACCTCAGCCGCAAATTTTAGCTGCTCCCATGGTTGAGCCTCCTCTTCAAACTCAGATAGATGGCAAAGGTACTGAAGATGTGCACAAAGTTCAGCCCTTACCTCAAGTCAAGTCAACATCTTCAACGGTGCAATTGCATCAATCTTCTAATGTCACTCAAGGTGTAGCCCAAAATCAGATGACTGCCCTAGCATCGCAACCTATTCTGCAAGATCAAAGTTTACTTTGTCCACCGTCAAGTATGCAGTCAACAGTTGCCTTACAACAAGCTCTTACAACTCAAATACTGCAGTCTGAACCTCAAGCCGATGTAGTTCAACCATCTCTGCAAATTGATGAAGGATCTGAAGCTGCTCAATCAGTACCTCAGCTTCTTCAGTCAATGTCAGGAGGACAATTAACAAATCTAAACTTATCTGCTCAGATTATAGAGCAAGCATCATCATCAATCCAACTTCCTTCACAACTGGTGCATGATGTTCAACCAGAGCAAATGGTTCAAACTGAAGGTAGTACAAAAATGATTCAGATTTCATCCCAGGTATCCCCTCCAACCTCAATGATGCAAGCAGTGGCAGAAATTTCACCTATATCTTCAGCAACACAAGTGAAATCAGCGATTGATGGTGTTACACAGCTTGTGCAATCTCGATCACAAGTACAAGGCCCAACCCAGTTGGTAGAGTCAGCTCATTTGACTCAAGTTATACCTGCAAATACTCAGGTAGTGCAATCAGTCTCCCAGTCCTCACTGCCTCAGCTTGTACAGAGTTCAAAACCATTGCAGTCATCACCGCAGAGGTTGGGTATACAACCTGTTCAACTATCGTCTAATGCCACCGCATCGCAGTTGAGAAGGGTTTCTGGAGATTTTTCCCCCCATTTAGTACAAATTTCTCAGCCATCACTCGTTCAAACTCTGCAAACAACTCAACTGCAGTCACATCAATCAGGACCATCATCTCAGGCTGTATCTATGGTGTCAAGCGCATTTTCTACTCAGAAGCAAGTTGATGTTGAAGTAGGAAAAGTTACCTCTCCGCCTAAACAAAATTTAGTTCCATTATATATGGTTCCATCATCATCATCTTCGCAGTTACCTGTGATGATCTCATCTGCTACTGGAATGGTCCCAACTGCCACTGGAATGGTTGTTGTAAATTCACCATCTGGGCTTGTTGTGCGCCAATTGTCTAAACAGGATAACAAATTATCCGGGGATTCAACTCACGACACATATGTGATCAGTTGTGAGCCTAGTCAACCTCTGTTGGTATCAACCATTCAACAACTTTTTAGTGGAAGTGCTCCTGTTGTTTCAACAGCCCATCTTAATGCAGCAATGACGAATCAAACTTCACCTATAATGTCAACTCAAAGCTTCGTAAGTGATTCAACTGACGCCACTGTATTATCAATCAACTCAGCAACGGTATCAAATGATATTCCAGTCAATATCAACCCTCTGATCTCTTCGGGAAGTCCTAGAACTCAGTTATATCCATCCTTGACTTCAACAACTCAGACGACAGCTTCCAGTGTAGTGTTGGATGTACCAATACCTACTGTATCTCAAGCTGCACCAAGAGCTGTCACCCCCTCCAGTACGAGTAATATTTCCCCACCAGTCAGCACATTGACCACTGGTTCTCCACCAAGACCTCAAACTCTTTTAGCACTACAAAATCAGAGTCGCCTTGTCCAACTACAACAGATACATAGTGAACAGATGCGTATGCAAGAAGAAAAAGCTGCCAAAGATGAAAAGCAAAACATTGAACATCTTCGCCGAAGCCTTGCTCTTCAGCAACAGCAGCAGCTACAACAAGGTCAAGGATCTCAACCCCAGCAACAACCTCCACAATCAAATGTTACACAGCTCTCTCTGCCCCAGCCTGCTCCTGAAGTGCAGCAGATCAGTACAGCACAATGTGACTCACAGCAGATTTCTCAGACTGTGACGATATTGCAAAGTAGTGAATTGAAAAAGTCACCTCAGAAACAAGTGACAAGACTTAGTCCTCAGAAAGCTAAAGAAGAAACGGTTGCTGTTGTTCCTGTTATTATTTCTCGGACGAAAAATCGACCCATCATGGGCTCTGTTCCTCCACAGTTTATGAAGACCAAACCTACTCAGTTAATACAACTACTTGAACAACCACAGGCACCTCTTCCACCTCCACCTTTGTACCGTACTGTTGTACGCAGATTGAGTGATCCCATTTCTGTTGCATCTGGTGATTCCTCCAATATTGTCGCTTCGCCTCCGAAGCAGCAAGAAGAGCAACTAAAGAACTCTGATGAAAAGACCACTGAGACAGTGCCACCAGTTATTGAATTTTGTAAACCTTCTGTTGAATCATCAGGAGATAGTGGAACTGTTCCTACTGCCTTACCAAGTGAGTCATTAGTAACTCATACATCACCAATGAAAGATTCCTCGAGCTCAACATCGACCAAGTGTGCACCACCTGAAGATATGGGCTCTTCGGAAGAATTGCCAACTGTTCACATACAGGCAGAGTCTCTTCCATTGCCGATAGCTCTGCCTCAGCCTGCTGATTCTTCCACTGTGCTGCCGCCGACTATTTCCCCTCAAATTCAGCTTACCACTACTACAGAGCCACCAATTGTAGAGAAATTGATACCAGAACCTCTAAAAGAACAGACTTCCACAACTGGTGAGGAGCTTTCGAAGATTCCTGAAAGACAACTTGTTTCAAGTTGTCCTGAAGAACAAATTGTGCCATTCCCAGCTGAAAACCAAATATCGTTGGTGCTACCAGAAAAGCCATCTACAGAAAAAACACCTGGTTCTTCTCCACCAGAAAAGCTTCTAAGTGCACCATCAACAGAAATGTTAACACCTGCCCTTGTACCTCTACGGTTGCTATCATCACCAGAGAAACTCTCAGCACAATCATTGGCAGTATCTGTTTCTACCTCAACATCCCTTTCTCCACCACAGCTGTCGACTTCCAAGGGTAAAATTTATGCTGTTGTACAATCTAAAGCACCAGTAGTTGGTCTTTCTCAAAAACTGACACCAACAAAATCCCCTCTAAAATTGTCTCCAGGTGTTAAAGCCATGGTATTTTCCCCAACTGGATCTGAACGGTACATTGGAGATGCTGTAGTCTTGGGGCAATCAGAAAGCCCAAGTCCTGAAGCTTTTTGTGTTAGAGGAGGACTGTCAAATTCTAACTCTAAAAACACTGATGGTGAATCTGAGCAAGCAGTGGTTGTGGCCACACTAGCATCGGCATCAGGACCAACTAACGAGACCGTTAATTTTGTGCCCCGTCAGCATTCAGCTCAACTACCACGACTGAATCTACTGTCTAAATTTTCTACTCAAACACTACATCAGAAGGTTCAACAGCTACCAATTTCAGAGGCTCCACCACTTGCGCCAGTGTCCTCATCTAAAGTTTCTGAAACTCCATCACTGAAAACATCCCAACTTGGTGATCTTAATGTAAATTCAAGATCAAGAGTGCTGCAATCAGGTTTGCCTGTCCATTTGTACTCTGATGTGAAGCCTGTGAACTCATCTGAAGTACGGGTGTACCCTCCCTCCCAAGGATGTGTTGACGCAGACAGAATACCAAGTTCGCCAAAAGTTAAACCAACAGTACTTCAATTATCAACGCCTGTAACTGTAACTCCTCCACTAGTCCTGACTTCTGTGCAAGTAACTACATCTAGTAGCAGTGCTTCACCTGCCAAAGGAAGAACAACTGTGCCAATGACATATTCTGCAGTGAAGACATCTCCAAAGATACAAAATCCAACCCAAACATCTGTACAGTTATTAACAGCTGTGCCACTTCAACTACAAAAACCTGTTTTGGCAAAGGCACAAACTGTTATTCATCAACAACAAATATTACAGAGTCCTGGTACCTCAACTTTAAAACTTCAAACAACGACACCTGTGTTTATTCCAAGTCCGACCACTGCTATAAGTACATCTGAGGTCAAGATTGAGGATGGGCCAAATGTCAGTCCAAAACCTAAGAGGCAGCGGAATAGAAAAAGAAGTTTACGAAGCTCTCAAGAGAAGGAACCATCACCACCCAGGACTAGTACTGTAGAGACGGAATTGAGTGTCCCTAATCCTAAACCACAACTGCCATCTCCCTCGAAGAACACTGACTGTGGAGTTTCTCCTCCAAAGAGACCGAACAAGAAGAAGGAAAGCACTCCAACCAAGCAACTTAGCCCACTTGTGTCTCAGCACATGAATGATGCTATAATGCGAGTATCTCTTGGAGCTGATGCTGAGGAATTGCAATCAACTTCTAATGAGCAACTAACTTCATTGGTGATGAGAGAAACAGAGAACAGTACTGGTGGACATTTTGATGCCCCTCTAGTTGATGATGTTTATTATGAGGATCAGGAGAAAATTCCTGTTGAAGTGGCTGTGGCTGCTCTTTGTGGAGAGGATATTGAAATAGCCAAAGATTTGATTGATGGTAAGATTAATATGTCTTTTCCTCAATAAATATAGAAATATTTTAATCATTAATTGAGTTATCTATGTTTAATTCCAATTTCTTTTTTCTACAGGGAACTTACATGGGGACATGAAGAGAAGAGGGTCAATTACCTTGTTACCTGCCGATCCCTCTGATAACACTGAAGAGCTGAACTATACCTTTAGAAATGTTATTTCAAAGACACCTAATGATGATTTGAATACAGAAGCTCAGGAATCTAGTATTGGACCAGATGGGGATTCTGTGACATCAAGTGATCTCAAAAAAGATTCATCTATCATGTCATCTCTTGCTGTGTTAGGTAAATCATTTATTATTTCCTATCTTTGACTATTCATTAATGAAAACCAACATTATCTAAGCAGCCACATACTTGTTCTGGTTTCAAATAAAAGATAAATTAATACTAGCATATGGTTTTCCTATTTAAATCTTTTTCACTTGTGAAATAGTAAACTCAAATCTTTTCTCCTTTTTCAGGAAATGAATCTTCAGATGTTGCTGATCTTGACTCGGTGAAGAAGGAAACAGAACAGGAGATAGAGGTTAAAGAAGATGAAGAAGTAGTTGTTTCCTGTAAAATTGCTCAAAAACGTAAAGCAACTTCTCACACGGGTTCATTTTCTGAGCAGTCAAGATCTTTATCTGGTAGTGATGACTTAAGCATGGACAAAACAAGTACAAGTGATATTTTTCCTGAACCTGACCTCCTGTTTGAAACAACGCTTTCCCCATCATTTCTCGGAGAAATCGCTCAGCTCTCTCCAACTAACAGTCAAGATGCTGTATGTGCAAGCCCTGATCCTCTAGACAAGAAAAAGAGGTGTTTTACAGTAAAAACTGCTCCATTTCACAAGGCGCAAACTGCAACTCATGAAATATTCTCTGAAGCAGTGCCAAAAGTGGAACAAGATGAGTCTAAAGATTCAAGTGTAAATAAGACTTTGTCTTCCATAGATAGTCTAAATCAGTTTAATGGAGCAACTACAACTGACAACACCTTCCTGGAAACTCAAAATTCCCATTTGTCAGTAAATGAAAGTCAGGCATCCATGTCAAATTCTAATCAAATTTTAAGTGGTATGGCTGGCTCAAGCTCAGAGCCAGCATTTTTCTCATTGAAGCCAAGTTCAAGATTGAATGAAGGCAGAGTTCCATCTATTGATGAAGCTTCATGGGAAGGTGAGCCTCTGTATGCAAGTCAATCATCAGATAATGAAAATGATGATTTCTGGAGGAAAACCCTCGCGTCAGGAGTAGATCTTAATCAAGAGGGAGATACAAATAGCTCTTCGACTCCCAGCGAAAGTCTTACTAAAACTGGCAAATCATCAGGGCGCATAGTTACTCGGCGCTCCACAACTCCTCAAGCAAGTAAGGGAAACCTGAAGCGTAAAGACGAAAGTGCTGGCAGTCCTGCACAAAAGCAGTCTGGGGAAAAGAGAAAACGGATGAGTTCTCTTGTGTCATCTAACGATGAAGAGGAAAGCTCTAAGTATAGCTCAGTACTGAGATCAAGAGGTCATTCAACATCCAATACCAGCAAAAAGGAGGTTGCCAAAGGTAGTTTAAAGGAAGATTCTCAAGTACAGCGCCGTGTATCTCGTCGCACTCATAAACCAGTTACCAAGTTTGATGAGCCGCAGAAGAAGGCAAAGCCTTCCCCTAAACAGTCAACTAAGGCAGTTGCTCATAAAAAAAAATAGTGTCTTGTTGAGGGGTTTTACCTTTTATTGTTGCTAGAGATCTATATGTAATAATACTGTAAGTAAAATTGTACTGAATATTATATAAAGTTTTAACTTTAATTGTTATTGTATGTTTGCATGTCATTGTTTGAGCGCCTCTCTTTGAAAAGTACTTAAAATAGTAAATTTTCTTGAGCACTGAAGTACTGTCTTGCAGTCAAAATACGCATTTCCTTCATTGTTAGGTGTAAATGTGATGTCTTAGCCAAGTGTAGATTTGTGTTAAGTAAATACGTTCTAGGTAATGAGCTGTACAGAATTTTCATTTCGCTGCCAAATATAGTTCATTTTAATCAGGTTCACTAATTTTAAGAAGCATTCATTGTTATTATAATGAGGATTAAAGGTTGTGCTAAAAATTCATTTTGTTACTTATTCTTTGGAATTTATGTATTGTTAATTAAGAAGGGGAGTAGGCTCACCCACTGCTGTCTTTTGAATAGATTCTTAAGTGATGGACTGGAAGTTTTCTCATCTGTGTATGGGAAACATTTCCCTGGGAAGGTGTATTGTAATGCTCAGGTGCATTGATTATGACAGTATTATCTTTGAAACTTCGCTTAGAGAGTAATGCTTTTATCACCAGTATGTGATATTGCAAGTATTCCACTGCAATTCTTGTGTAGTGATTAGTAGTTTGGCAATTTTCATTAAAACTACTCAATACAAAATTAGTGTGTTTCAGTATCACATATCATCTGTAAATTTGTATGTCCTAGTACTAATAGAAAAGATGTCAATCTTTCAAAATGTTGTAGATCTGAATTCTCCCTTGTAAAGTATTAATGGAACTAGAGTAAATTATTATGTACACATGCAGTTCCGCCTGTTCCTTGTTTTTCATCTATTGTGGGGAAAAACATGTTTCTGCTCTTTTTGACATGCTTTCAAATTCATCGTCTGTAAGGTGTAAATTAGAGCTCTATGTGGAAGTTAGGTCTCAATTTTAATGCTGACATCAACATATACTGTAATAATGATTTCTAGAATGAGTTGTACATTTCCCTCCTAAGTCAGTTTTTATGTTATGCTCATTTTAGGTTTTTGTTTAACTATCTTTTTCAGAAATTATAAGGAGGTAATTTTACTTCATAATGTAGCTCAGTATTGTTTAGACGTGGAAGTAAATTTTCATATTTAGGTTTAGTTAGTTGGACTTTGGTAAGTGTTGAAGTGAGTGGCCCTGAGCATTGCTGCTTTCCTTGATCTCTCCCCATCACCGTACGATCGAACTGTTTCTTTTGTATTCTATGAAAACAATGGTGCTATATCTATTGAATGAAGGTACAAATATTATGGTTTGTAGAAGTCCCACTCATTTTTAAACAGGTTTTCATGAGTGAGGGCGTGTGCAGTGGTACTTTGGTACAATATGCTTGTTTCACCTTATCTGCCTCATTCAAATATGCATAACCTAAAGGAAATTTTTATTATTTTTAATTTGTATTTCTACTTTTTTTATTATTAGTTGCAGCTTCTCAGAAAACCCTGTATTGTTTGAAATTGACTGGTATATGAACAAATCATTATGCTATTTGACAGGCAGAATGCAAGCCTTTTAGTTGTTTGGATTTTCCCTTCTCTTGCCCATTCCCATTCTTGGATATTTTAAACAATAGTGTTCTGTATTAAGAATTAAGAACCAGTCATTATCCCACATGTGTTCAGTACAAATGTACTACATCAAAGTGTTGTTTTGGGTTGTTTTTCTTCTGGTTTTTAAATTGTAGTGGTCTTTATGAAACACTTTTAAAGTCCCCCTGTAGCTGTCAGCTTATCTATTGAAGTGCCATATGTACCCTCAAATGATTTCTTCTATGTATCTATCGTAATCTATCATTGTTCCTCATTCAATGCAGCTCTTGACATTTTAAACAAATCTGTCGTTGAAACTGATAGGAATGGTGCGTGTGCGCAGTAAAGGGGAATCCCTTCTTCTTTATGGAAATTTCCATACCACATTGATATGTGCTTACAGTAAAATATCCAAAGCATTAATTAACAAACCTTGTTTCCAGAAGCTTTGTGATATCACATAACAACTATAAATATGATTAAATATGATGGAGAATGTTTAGTTCAAATACGGTAGGATACAGTATCTGGTCATCAAAATCTTGTTTATGGCAATTTTTGAGTTAGCTTTCTGTTGCCTTTGTTCATACTGTACACATCACTGTATTTTTGTACATAGCTAATTTAAGACTTTAAATGTATATTGTAAATTAAAATGGACAAAAAATGCTGTGAAAAATATTTTAAATCTGTTTATGACCTAAGTAAATATAATATAGCATCTTTATATGACATAAATTGAAATTTCATGATGGTATTAAAATTGTGTCTGGTGTGTTAGTTATCATGTGCTTTTAGCATGATTGAAGGCCATCTTCATTTTGCTTGAAATAAATCAATTCATTTATATAGAACATTACATTGGGCTACAAGTTTCTTACCTAGACAATCAAATAATGACAACTCCACCTGCGAATTCAGCTAAGTTTCCGCCTTGCTCTGGTTCCTGGACCCCCACGCAAACTCAATGAATCAACGAGAATTGTTCAGAGCCCAGACAATGAACAGAGGGAAGATGAAGATGCTGAGAAGTATGCTTCGTCTTGCCTACCGCTTTTAAGTCGACCCAGTGAAAAGAAAAAATTATAGGTGATGTCATGTGACATCGAGAAAGTTACTGAACTTTATTTTGACCTAAAAATTAGAAAAAGTTGAAGTCACTATCAGGTGAAAATGACTCCCTTGATTTCAAATTACATCCCCTTGTTCTTTCTCTTTTCACTGAGGCCTTTCCTAACGCGAGATGGGTCGGTGTGGTATATGTTGGGGGTCAATGGCCGAGCATTCATATCCAGGAATTATTGTGTTCGTGAGTATGCCGAGGCGCACCGGGTTTTTATTGTATTGTGCGGCCTTTATTACCTCGCGTGAATCTAACGCCC